TTGTGAAACTCAAAAGAATAAATTTGTGCTAGTTGGGCTATGATAGAGTTAAAGCTACTCAATCGGTGAGATGCAATAAATTAATAGAAAATTTTATTGTAATTAAATGTCATGTAAAAGTTTAAAATAATTTTTTCAAACCGGGATGTGAAGGGGGTTAAAACCACCCTAAACTGATTTGTAAGAGATGATTAATTGACAATAAATAACTAAATAAATAAAATCAATCACACAAACACACCATATTTTACGTGGTTCGGCAAAATTTGCCTACATCCACGGGACGTGATCAATCCATTAGAAATGTCACAAACACAATACAAGATTATCGCTCCATACTAACCCCCAGCCTAACTCACATTGGTTTAGCTCGTATTTGATCATGTTGGACCTATTCTTAGCCAGGCGGGATCTATTACAAGTTGACTAATTACGAGTTAACACGTCGCGCTTATGAGAGAAAGTTAGTGAGAAGTGTTGTTAGCGGATAGTACTCCTGACAAAAACTATGTAATAAATGGGAAGTCCATATAAAAAATTATAATAACAATATGTGCGTTGCAGGAGTTATGATTCACAAGGGAATTTATCACTGTTCTACCAATACAATCCCAAAGGTGTAGTGTGGGGCAACATTGGTGGGCTCACTCTACATCGGAAGATCATCAACTGGATTTCACATGAACCAGCCATCTTCCCTTCTCAGAAATCTGATATCAATGGTGCTGGTCAGGTTCTGCCACAATTCTTCCTGGAGACAAACCAGCCATTTTGTACACTGGCATTGACCTGACAAAAAGCAGGTTCAAAATTTAGCTTTCCCCAAGAATTATCCGACCCTTATCTTAAAGAATGGGAAAAGTTCCCAAACAACCCATTATGGCACCCAACTAAAAATGGTATCAATGCAAGATCATTTAGAGACCCTTCCACTGCCTGGCAAGGCCCTGATAAAGCTGGGAGTGTGTCATTGGAAGCAAAAAACATGACTTGGGGTTGGCAATTCTTTACAGGAGTGAAGATTTATATACTTGGTCCGAGGCTAAACGCCCTACATTCTGGAAAGCGCACAGGAATGTGGGAGTGTCCTGATTTTTACCCAGTTGCAGTTGATAATTTTACTGGTCTTGATACATCAACTCTCGGAGAGAAGGTTTAAACATGTGCTGAAGGTCAGCTTGGATAATTATAAACATGATTATACACAATTGGGCGTTATTTATATCAAGACTGATAAATATGTTCCAGATAAGGGCTCCATTGAAGGAGATAAGGGATTGAAATATGATTATGGGAAGTTTATGCTTCCAAGACTTTCTTGATAGTGCCAAGAACAGGAGGGTTTTGTGGGGATGGATTATGAATCATCAAGTGTGGAGGATGAGTTAAGAAGGGATGGTCCGGAATTCAGGTAATTTAGTGATCTTAGTCATTGCTTATAAAACATTTACCATTAACGAAACCGCATTTAAAAAATTTAGTCACTAAAGACTGTCTTCTTTGATTCAATTTGCAGGCAATTCCTAGGATTGTTTGGCTTGATAAATCCGGGAAGCAATTGATGCAATGGCCAGTAGCTGAACTCGAGACGCTTCGCGATACCAAAGTAAATTTAGAGAACAAGTCGCTGGATGCAGGATCATTCATGAAGTAACTGGCATCACAGCTGCACAGGTAACTAGTTTTAGCATATATTATCAAATAATGGATAATCTGGCCAAAGAATGTTGTTGATTCTCTCTGTTCCTTCTGTTTATACAGGCAGATATTGATATTCATTTGAGATAACTGACATATAACAAAGCAGAAGTGCTCCATTCAAAAGGGAAGCATGCTCAAAAGCTTTGCAATGAAAAGAATGCATCAGGCGCTAAAGGTGGTTTGGCCCATTTGGGTTGAAAGTTTTGGCCACAGATGACTTAAGGAGTTCACAGCAGTGTTCTTCAGAATCTTCAAACGCAAATCTAGCAAAAACCTGTTGTGCTAATGTGCAGTGACCAAAGCAGGTCCAACTCTTCTTCAGCTCATCAATCTACAGGGAGAAAGACTTAATCCACAAGTTTTGGTCAACTAGTTAGATCCTGCGTTTTAAAATACTCGATTATCCAACTTAAATTTAACAAATGTTCACATAATCTCTTACACGACTTCATAGTTTTGAACTATTTATTGATTGATTTCTTATATATTTTACTTGCCATGACAGATCTTCCTTAAACAATAACAATGACAAGACCACTTATGGAGCTTTCGTGAATGTGGATCCAGTTTCTGAGAAGATATCACTAAGGAGCTTGGTAAGTTGATCAATACATTAACATATTAGAATAAAACTGCAAAAATCTATTCTAATCTCATCACCACTTTGGCCTTTTGGCAACAGATTGATCACTCTATAGTGGCAAGCTTTGGTGGAGGAGGCAAGAGTGTGCATCACAGCCAGAGTTTATCCAACCTTGGCGGTTGAGGATAAGGCTCATTGTATGTTTTCATAATGGAAGTGAAGCTGTAAAGATTGTAAGCTTGAATGCCTGGAGCATGAAGGACGCTCAAATTAATTGAAGCAAAAAAAAATAATAAAAAAAAAAAAAAATGATAGAAGTTTGAGAGGATTTTTAGTGCTAATGTTGATCCTTTTTGTAAATGTGATGTCGAAGAAATAAAGGGAATGGTATTTTAATAAAGAGGTACTTCTTTATTTTATTAAAAAAATAATTTGATATATAATGGTGAGTTCTTTATTATATATATATAAGCTAAATGTGTACTCGATCAAGAGAGGAATGTAATATTCAATTTCATACTAGGGAAAAAAGTGTAAAACTGCGTCAAATAATAAGGATATGATAACTTATTAACAGTTTTTTTACCATGGAACGTAGTAGATGAAATAGCTTACATGACACTCAAGGTTCGCACAAGTTGAAACTGGGACATGCCAAACCCGTCTACCTTAGGGTTTATGAATACCCTATAAACTCAATAAGCCAGATAAGCGATAAATGTGGTAAGTGGTCACTCCCTTGATGAACCGAACACAAGATTTCTATGTCCACTAACAAGCTGAACCAATGGTTACCATCCGGCCATAAGGGAGTTGGTTTAACGAGTATTTTAATATTCAATTTATAAGGTTTGGTTTGTGTTACGAAAAATAAATAGACGTATTTTATGTAGACGACGCTTCTTGTAAAACTTAGAATGCAAACTCATGGGAGCTTAGACCCAATAAATTTACGTATTTGGGCTTAGGTGAACAGCTTTTCTAGTTGGGCTTGAATCAATAAAGTTTGTTGGGCCCAAAGGGGATCAGGGTTTGCAGGCTTGAACCTAAAGTAAGCATTTTCCATTTTAGTTGGGCTTGGACCCATCAAAATTTTCTTTGCTATTTTTAAAGCTATATGCCATTGGGGAGTAATAAAATTGTAAAAATTGCCTTTGGAAATGAATTAAATTACTTCAACACCACAGCTGAATTATTCAAATTAGAGAAAATTATAATATTTGCTCTCTTTATTTTGAAACCAAACTTATCTTAATAGATTAAGAAAACAAAATAATAAAATAAAATAAATCACACAATAACAAAAGATTTATGTGATTCGTTAAATTGCTTACATACATGAGACGTAATTAATCTACTAATAATGATAAGACCACTTATGGAGCTTTTGTTGATGTGGATCCTGTTCATAAGAGCCTGTCACTAAGAAGCCTGGTGAGTTCACAGTAAACTGTGATGTGACTGAGTCGATCAGGGACATTCCTGTAGAGATAATGCTCTAATAATCACCTGCATTTTTTTTGCAGATTGATCACTCCATAGTGGAGAGCTTTGGTGGGGGAGGAAAAGCTTGCATAACAGCTAGAGTTTATCCAACTTTGGCAATTGATCATGAGGCGCACTTATATGCATTCAATTATGGAACTGAGAAGATAAACCTCACTAATCTGAGTGCTTGGAGTCTGAAGAAAGCTCAAATTAGTTAATTGAAGTTGGAAAGAAGAGAAATTAAACTGCAGTCGATATGACAGATACCACCACTAATCTAATCCTTACCAAATAGAAAATTAAATTTTCTTTTCAGTGTTAAATGAGAGAGTTTGTCATTCAATGTTATAGCCCTGTTTCCTAAGCTTGTTTGTAAGATTATCAAAAGAGAATAATAATAATAATAGCAATTTATTGAGCAAACGTCTTTTTCCCACCCAAAGTTTGCCTTAATGACTTTTTCCACTCAAAAAGTTTCAAAATACCACTTTCTCACTCAAAGTTTATATCTCGTTACTACCCAAAGCCAATTCCGGCCTATTCCAATGGCAAAAATTTTCTTCGTCACCACCATTTGAACCTCCAGTCCCCTCTCTACAAAACCCCTTTTACTTTGGCACCTGATTTTTCACCGATTATTGGCCATCGCAAAGCTAGGATTTTTTAGTCTTTGCTAATTTCCGGCTAATTCCAACAGCGAATATTCAATCGGTCACCACTATCTAATCCACTAGCCTCCACTGTACAAAACCTCTCTTATCCTGACTTCTAGTAACTCGTCGAACATCGACCAAGAAAGTGAATAGTATATTTTGGATATTAACAGAATATAAACTTTAGGTGGGAAAGTGATATTTTGAAACTTTTTACGTGGGAAAGTATGATTAAGGCAAACCTTGGGCGGGAAAAAGTCGTTTACTCAAATTTATTTATAATATATAGTTTTCATAATTGTCAAATTATGCATGACCTATTCAATTTTCTTAAACAAAATCATTTTTAGTAACTCAGCAATTCTCATATATAGAATTGTCAAAGATCCAAAGGGGCTATTAATAGGATTCTTGCAAATCTGAAACATGATCATAATAATACAAATATAGATGCATCCAACTCATCATAATAAATGTGTTTATCATATATGCTATATTTCGGATACTCGATTGGTGGAATGCACATATATATTTTTTTTTCTCATCAAATTATAAGATGTAAATAGTTTAAAATAGAAATTTTAGTTTCCAAAATAGCCAAATAATTATCTAATCATAGACCAAAAATCAAGGATTTCTGAGAAACTGAAACCTTAACTCAAGGAAATCCTCAGGTTTCAGCTAATAAATTGCATGTTCTCTGAGCCAATCACTTCAAGTTTAAATTCTTATAAAACCAGCCTGCAATGGCATAAATCATACAAAACCTGAAAATCCAGGTTCTACACCATGGCCAGCTTTTCAATCTCTCTAGTCCTATTATTTTCTCTTTTCCTTGGCCATGGCCTTGTGGAACTTGAAGCATCACATCACATTTACAACCAACTTCAAATATCTCAAAATATTACTTATAATGCTACAGATCAAGCTTACAGAACTGGTTATCATTTCCAACCTCCCAAGAACTGGATCAATGGTGCTTCTCTTTCTTTTAATATTACTCCTGAATTTTTACTCTCATATTCTTGTTTATATCTCTTAACAGTTTTTTACCTTTTGTTCTCTGGTTTTTGTCTGTTGGACCTGCTGTCATTGTTGCATGGACAAATGCAGATCCCAATGGTTAGTATTTTACTTCTGCCCTTCTTCCTTTTAATGTTAAATATTCACTTCATGCTATATGTGTAAGATTTATTATACACACCACCTTTTGATTGAATGAAGCAACAACTAGAACATGAAACAAGAGAACTGAATGTGCAAGTGCATGTGTTCACATAAAGGAAATATTTTCCTCAGCTTCCAATATTGTAGTATACAACGTTCAATGGATCTATTATATTAATAAGAGGAGTAGGTGAGGGACTTAGCCTTATTAAAATGGACATCTAAATTATATAGAACTCTCTTAATGTTGCAAAAATAAACACTCTTTATAAGATTCATCTATCACAGATCCCACAAATTTGGTCTACACTAAAACATTACTGTTCAAATTGGTGTTAGACATGTTATTACAATAATAGATTAAACTTCCAAGCATATCACTTATGTTATTAAGCAACCGGTTTTCACCAACAAAAGAATAAAGATAAGTTGATAAACACTTCTCACGAATACAACGTGATAGCTCACAGTTGGTTAGCTCGTATTTGATCATGTGGGACCTATTGTTAGCCAGGCAGGACCTATTACAAGTTGACTAATTACGAGTTAACACGTCGCGCTTATGAGAGAAAGTTAGTAAGAAGTGTTTGTTAGCGGAATAGTACTCCTGACAAAAACTATGTAATAAATGGGAAGTCCATATAAAAAATTATAATAACAATATGTGCGTTGCAGGAGTTATGATTCACAAGGGAATTTATCACTTGTTCTACCAATACAATCCCAAAGGTGTAGTGTGGGGCAACATTGTGTGGGCTCACTCTACATCGGAAGATCTCATCAACTGGATTTCACATGAGCCAGCCATCTTCCCTTCTCAGAAATCTGATATCAATGGCTGCTGGTCAGGTTCTGCCACAATTCTTCCTGGAGACAAACCAGCCATTTTGTACACTGGCATTGACCCTGACAAAAAGCAGGTTCAAAATTTAGCTTTCCCCAAGAATTTATCCGACCCTTATCTTAAAGAATGGGAAAAGTTCCCAAACAACCCACTTATGGCACCCAACTCCAAAAATGGTATCAATGCAAGCTCATTTAGAGACCCTTCCACTGCCTGGCAAGGCCCTGATAAAGCCTGGAGAGTTGTCATTGGAAGCAAAAACAATGACTTGGGGTTGGCAATTCTTTACAGGAGTGAAGATTTTATAACTTGGTCCGAGGCTAAACGCCCTCTACATTCTGGAAAGCGCACAGGAATGTGGGAGTGTCCTGATTTTTACCCAGTTGCAGTTGATAATTTTACTGGTCTTGATACATCAACTCTCGGAGAGAAGGTTAAACATGTGCTGAAGGTCAGCTTGGATAATTATAAACATGATTATTACACAATTGGGCATTATAATTACAAGACTGATAAATATGTTCCAGATAAGGGCTCCATTGAAGGAGATAAGGGATTGAAATATGATTATGGGAAGTTTTATGCTTCCAAGACTTTCTTTGATAGTGCCAAGAACAGGAGGGTTTTGTGGGGATGGATTAATGAATCATCAAGTGTGGAGGATGATGTTAAGAAGGGATGGTCCGGAATTCAGGTAATTTAGTGATCATTAGTCATTGCTTATAACCATTTACCATCTTAACGAAATCCGCATTTTAAAAAATTTAGTCACTAAAGACTGTCTTCTTGGATTCAATTTGCAGGCAATTCCTAGGATTGTTTGGCTTGATAAATCCGGGAAGCAATTGATGCAATGGCCAGTAGCTGAACTCGAGACGCTTCGCGATACCAAAGTAAATTTAGAGAACAAGTCGCTGGATGCAGGATCATTTCATGAAGTAACTGGCATCACAGCTGCACAGGTAACTAGTTTATGCATGTATTATCAAATAATGGATAATCTGGCCAAAGAATGTTGTTGATTCTCTCTGTTTCCTTCTGTTTATACAGGCAGATATTGATATTTCATTTGAGATAACTGACATTAACAAAGCAGAAGTGCTCCATTCAAAAGGGAAGCATGCTCAAAAGCTTTGCAATGAAAAGAATGCATCAGGCGCTAAAGGTGGTCTTGGCCCATTTGGGTTGAAAGTTTTGGCCACAGATGACTCTAAGGAGTTCACAGCAGTGTTCTTCAGAATCTTCAAACGCAAATCTAGCAAAAAACCTGTTGTGCTAATGTGCAGTGACCAAAGCAGGTCCAACTCTTCTTTCAGCTCATCAATCTCTTACAGGGAGAAAGACTTAATCCACAAGTTTTGGTCAACTAGTCTAGATCCTGCGTTTTAAAATACTCGATTTATCCAACTTAAATTTAACAAATGTTCACATAATCTGTTACACGACTTCATAGTTTTGAACTATTTTATTGATTGATTTCTTATATATTTTACTTGCCATGACAGATCTTCCTTAAACAATAACAATGACAAGACCACTTATGGAGCTTTCGTGAATGTGGATCCAGTTTCTGAGAAGATATCACTAAGGAGCTTGGTAAGTTGATCAATACATTAACATATTAGAATAAAACTGCAAAAATCTATTCTAATCTCATCACCACTTTGGCCTTTTGGCAACAGATTGATCACTCTATAGTGGCAAGCTTTGGTGGAGGAGGCAAGAGTTGCATCACAGCCAGAGTTTATCCAACCTTGGCGGTTGAGGATAAGGCTCATTTGTATGTTTTCAATAATGGAAGTGAAGCTGTAAAGATTGTAAGCTTGAATGCCTGGAGCATGAAGGACGCTCAAATTAATTGAAGCAAAAAAAAATTAATAAAAAAAAAAAAAAATGATAGAAGTTTGAGAGGATTTTTCAGTGCTAAATGTTGATCCTTTTCTTGTAAATGTGATGTCGAAGAAATTAAAGGGAAATGGTATTTTAATAAAGAGGTACTTCTTTATTTTATTAAAAAAATAATTTGATATATTAAGGTGAGTTCTTTATATATATATATAAGCTAATATGTGTACTCGTCAAGAGAGGAATGTAATATTCAATTCAAAAGGGAAAAAAGTGTAAAACTTGCGTCAAATAATAAGGATATGTAACTTATAACAGTTTTTTACCATGGAACGTAGTAGATGAAAATAGCTACATGACACTAAGGTTCGCTACAAGTTGAAACTGGGACATGCCAACACCGTCGCTCAAGGTTTATTGAATACATATAACTCAATAAGCAGATAAGCGATAAATGTGGTAAGTGGTCACTCCCTTGATGAACCGAACACAAAGTTCTATGTCCACTAACAAGCTGAACCACATGGTCTACCATCCGGCATAAGGAGTTGGTTTAACGAGTATTTTAATATTCAATTATAAGGTTAGGTTTGTGTTACGAAAAATAAATAGACTTATTTATGTGACGACGTTCTGTAAAACTTAGAATGCAAACTCATGGGAGCTTAGACCCAATAAATTTTACGTATTTGGGCTTAAGGTGAACAGCTTTTACTTAGTTGGGCTTGACTCAATAAGTTGTGTGGGCCCAAAGGGGATCTAGGGTTTGCAGGCTTGAACCTAAAGTAAGCATTTTCCATTTAGTTGGGCTTGGACCATCAAAATTTTCTTTGCTATTTTTAAAGCTCTATTGCCATTGGGGAGTAATAAAATTTGTAAAAATTGCCTTGGGAAATGAATTAAATTACTTCAACACCACAGTGAATTATTAAATTAGAGAAAATTATTAATATTTTGCTCTCTTTTATTTTGAAACCAAACTATTCTTAATAGATTAAGAAAACAAAAATAAATAAATAAAATAAATCACCAATAACAAAAGATTTATGTGATTCGTTAAATTTGTTACATACATGGACGTAATTAATCTACTAAATATACAACACAATACAATATTAAATCCTTGTCAACCCATCTCAATTTTGACATTAGATCAATTCTAAGACTAATCAAATATCCTTAAACCTTTGTACACCGTTCTCATTTTGAATCCAAATATTGATTTTTCTTGTCATATCAACACTATGGAACCAAAAAATTCATGTATATTGTACAAAACTCTCATCAAATACACAAGGGGACTAAAATATTAAGAGATGAGAAAGTTAAAAAAATCAACTTCCAAATTGCCTTGAATTTAATCATTCATGATCTTATACATTGAGATGTTTTTTTCATAAATTTTAGAATAAGAGGGCAGATTTGGTAAAAATTTAAGGGTATTATTATAAACATAATTAATACAATAAACGTAAAATAAAATAAAGCACAAAGATATTAGAAATGTTGACAAGAAGATTCATATCTGAATTATTGGTAAAATAATAAATTAATGAAGATGGTGATGACGGTTATGATTTATTGGCAACTGTACAGTTACAGTCGAGGGTGGCAGAGTGCGGTGGTGCATACCCAAAGGAACCCCCCCCGTGACGTGGAGTGGTGCAAAGATGGGTCCTACGGCCACCGACTTAGAGCAGGGGAAGCATGGCACTTGATCAGTCCAAAGTGCTGAAAATTTGATTCAGTCCGACCCGTTAGGTAAAATCATTAAACCCCTCTTGCCAATATAAACCTTGTTGTTGTAACATATCAGGATGACCCTACCAAGAGGGGAGGAATTGTTATTACGAGGAAAAAAATGTTTTCAACCACTTATTGAAAGGTGTGAAACTACCCAATTAAATCTTATCATATATTATTAACATACCCCAAAAATGTGTATTTTTTTTTTTTTTAATATGAATTATTGAACAAGATTTAGTTGATACTTCTTGACTTCTTGTAGTGAGGTACTAGTTTTACACAAGGATTGTTTTCATTAAGTCTATGGTTAATAGACATATGATGTATGATAAACTAACAAATATCCCTCTAAGGATTTGAAATATAAAAATTCCTTTACGTTAATGAACCATAATGAGTTGTTAATCACAAGTTAAAAGTTTGAAAATATTACTAAATTATCCTTAATATTTTATTTTAACCTTAAAACTTAACGATACAAGATATTTGTTATTCCAAAATGAATTAGGTTTCTTGGGCTTCCTTATCAAATGTATGAGCCGAACTCCACTTGATTTAATGGCTACCTCATTTGAAAAGAATTTTTTTAGGTAAACATGTTTTGATGAATGACATTTTTGTGAAACTCAAAGAATAAATTGTGCTAGGTGGGCTATATAGAGTAAAGCTACTCAATCGGGGAGATGCAATAAATTAATAGAAAATTTTATTGTAATTAAATGTCATGTAAAAGTTTAAAAAATTTTTCAAACCGGGAGTGAAGGGGGTTAAAACCACCCTAAACTGATTTGTAAGAGATGATTAATTGACAATAAATAACTAAATAAATAAAATCAATCACAAAAACACACCATATTTACGTGGTTCGGCAAAATTTGCCTACATCCACGGGACGTGATCAATCCATTAGAAATGTACAAACACAATACAAGATTATCGCTCCATACTAACCCCCAGCCTAACCTTGAAACCCTTGTACACCCTTCTCAGGTAAATATATCAACATTCTCCCTCTTACTCTCAAAAAAAAAAAAAAAAAAAAAAAAAAAAAAAAAAATCACATTTAGCATTGAACCTCACATACAATATTCAAGTAATCTAATATTTACAAAATAAGTATAAAACTATTCTATCTAAACAAAAGACTTGTATCAAAACTAGAGTTAATCCTACCTTTTGCTTTCAATAAGGAACTGATAGTGAAAATTTTCACAAGCTTCCTCAGGCTGGAGAGTGGAGACTGAAGAAAGCTAAATTAGTTTGACATTGATATTGCTAAACTATTATAGAATTGATAAGATTTACTACCTTGCTTGTAGCCAACCATTTGAAGAAATCAATGTCTATGTGAACAGTTCATTCTGTTAAATTATGATATCACATCACCTTTGTATATCATCTCCTGTTAAGTCCAATACATGACAATGAAACAAGACTTGGAATTCATAATATAAGCACAAGAATGGAACAAGAGATTATGTCATAGAAGTTCGACTGATTTAGAAATACCTTCTTCCAATCCTTCACTTCATTTTTGTCATTAGTTTCTAATTTGATCCTCTTTCAATTCCCCTTCCTTTAACCAAGACATTGCAAGATGAAATTAGTATTTTATTACAAACAGTAGGACAATAACAAAATTAATGTACTTACTTAACAAAATAATACACCATTTTTTTTATGCCAAGCTCATTTAGTATATCAACTCCTAACATTAATTGGTTCTTCAAGCAATTCATAAAATGTTTAAAACTTGCTTCATAGTAATTGCTTTATAAATAAAAAGGCTTTTGTATAAATTAGTTACCTGAATTTACAGCGACCTTTCGAGGAGAATGAAATATTAAGGTCGAATATAAATTCGTGCAATTAGCAACACATAATATTGAGCCAAAGAGTCTTGTAACAAGCAAGAACATGTCAAATTGTTGAATGGAACAGCTAGAAGATTCTAAAGCCATAATTCAATCAAGCATGCAAACAATTTTGCAGAAATAAACCTTTGTTCAACACCTCAAATTTTGGGGTAGCTATGAGTTTCTGACAATCTGATCCTCCATGAAACATCATCTTTAGATGGAATTTGATCCCTGTTTACTCAATACAGCCAAAAGATATACCAAATAACTTAACATGAGGTAGTATGTGTAGATATAAAATGCAAAATGAACCTCATTACTTTGACAAGATTGGTAATTCTTTTTGGCAACCTCGATTGTTCGATCAACACTGAATTCAGATTAATTGTGGGTCTTTTGGCAACCTCGATTGTTCGATCAACACTGAAATCAGAATTAATTGGGTTCATGAGACAAATTTCAAAAAATAAACTGAACACATACTGGAATCATTATAGCAATTGTTTATCGGACATGAAATTCAATGGCTAAGATGCTTGAGGAACTCCTTGATTGCATATATAGAAACTGAAACAATCAGCATTGATGCTCGATAACTTACAAAACGTACTGTGGAGGAGGCTGCAACATTAAATATGAGAAAGATTAGCCAAAACTTAAAAAATCAACTCCAAAATGATAAATACTGGGTGCAGTTTAAATACCATTTGGGTGTGAAATCGTGACCAAAGCAGTGAAAGCTGCAGACCGATTTTCCACTACGTAGAACCAAGAAAACACTGACCAGTCCATAATTCACCATAATAACTTCCCCACATTAGGCCTCCTCAATTCTACACACATTCAGCGCATAGAATATTGTTTCTCCAGCATTTGTCTGTCCCACTCGACAAAAAAACAGAATAAATTTAATCCCAAGTTGCCTCATTTTTTCCTCAGAAACATACTCTTCTTGTTGTCCTCAGCAAACACACGTGAGGATTCAATAAAGCCTACTATGCTAGGGAATCCTATGTTTATTTAGAGCCGCACCATTCAGAGATGAGAGAGACTTAGCCAACCATACAAATCAATTCCTACAGTATAATATAAAGCAAGGATTGGTGAAGTTATTACCTTTTGTTGTGAAATAATGCCACTTGATAGCAGCCAGGAATAACACAAACTAATCCAAAACATTCACCGGAAAAAACTTTCCCACATAAGCCATCATCGATTCTTCCCAAACCCTGATCCTATAGCAAATGTTTTCCCATCATTCTGTCCATTGCTTTGCTCCTCATCAGTAGTCGTTTTAAAAAGTCATTCTCAGTATAAGCAATATCTTACCAATGACACTCCCTCTTGAGAAAAGAAGTGAGCCCAAATCTATCCATTACGCAAAAACATTTGATAGCAGTATCGACATCGTCTCCAGAAACGCAAGCTTGATTTAGTTATTTCATCTTTCAAAACCCTTCTATGCATAATTCTTGCACCCAAATGTAGTTCAAATAAAAGAATAACTCAAAGAGTAGTTCAATCTCCGCAACGAAAACGGAATACAGAAAACAAATGCTATAGTAAAAACTGAAAACAAATGCCATTTTATTTAATCTTTGAACAACCCTGTTCACCAAACTGTATAGGGTCAAACCATGCTGTCTCTATGTTAATTTCATCTGGTAAAAAAATGGACTATAAAAATTACAATCACGAAATATAGAGATGTTAAACAATCTTATTAGGTTGAAGAACTGCAAAATGTGTAAAAGTTAGTTAATGAGCAATTGCGTCTGGTGTTTCTGTATCTTGAAAAAGAAATTAAATATTGGTTAATGAACGAAAAATTGCAAAGCTAAATACCTGACCACCAAGTGGAATCATTCACAGTTATTGAGGATACAGCCAGCACTTGTTGATCATACCAACAAGAAATTTGTCTCTAAAATGCTTGGAGAAGTGTTTGATAGTATTTATAGGAGCCCAACAGACATAAGAATTGAATAAAAGCCTACAAAAGGGCATCCTATGTTTATTTAAGAGATGAGAATGAATTAGCCAACGCTTACAAAATCAACTCAAATACATTATATAATACCAAGCAATAGTTGGTGAAGATTAATACCTTTGGCTGTGAAATAATGGTAAAAGCATCGAAAACCGTATGAGGATTATGCCACCTTATAACAACCAAGAATAACACAAGTTCATCCAAAACATTCACAGGAAAAACTTTCCCACATAAGCCATCATCGATTCTGTCCATTGCTCTTTTCATCAAACATTTTAAAAGGTGACTCTAAGTGAAAGCTAGAATGCAATATCCATAGAATCCCCTGAATCGCAAGCCTAGGCTCATCAATTTCATCTTTCAAACACCTTGCGTGCATAAACATGATAACCCAAATCAGAACTGTAAATGTGAGTTAATGAGCATGTGAGCCCAAACAACAAACGAACAAAAGAGCAAGAGAGAGAGAGAGTGAGAGAGACAGAGAAGAAGAAGAAGAAATTACCGGTGACAATGAGTGGTGACATTGAGAACTATAATTAAAAATTTTAGTAACTAAAGGGCATATATTATCAACAATGGATTATTTTAAAAGAAATATTAAATACATTTTATGAGAGAGAGAGAGAGAGGGGTTTTGATAGAATTAATTGATCCTAAAATTAAGAATATATTTGTTTGGTATTTATATTATAAAGTCAATAAAATAAACATTAGAAAATAAGTTAATAAAGGAAAAAAGAAACGAAGAAGACAAAAGTTTGTTCAATTCTTTTAATTGTAAATAACAACTTACTTTCAAATGGAGAAGAAATTACCTATCACCATCTATATCCTTTAATGCTGACGTCAGGAATGTGAGAGATCTTGTGCCAATCTTCACCTGTCTCCTTATTGTAACGCTCACTTAGAGTAAAACAATACTCTATCTCCAATTGTTTTAGTGTTGGCGATTGAAGAATGTAATTGGGCAGCGTTCTTAATCGACGAGCCTCATAAATCTTCAAGTAATGAAGAGATGGCATAATTGTAATAACTAATTCATCTCCTCTCAAAGTAATATCATCCCACTCTTTCCATTCTAACATCAAACCAAACACAAGATTTTTTAATTTGGGAAAGACAATAGAAGATGTGGTAGTGCCATCACTTTCTATTCCCAAAAATTCATTATCCACTTTTTTTACCCTTAAAGCCTCCTCTATAAAGAGTGACTCAAGAGATGATAATTTTCCTAAAGGAGGCAAATACTCACACTTGTAGCAATTAAAAAGTCTTAACTCCCTCAACTGAGTTAATGATACTATCCACTTTGGCCATATAGTTTTACCCTTATAAGTAGACAAATGTAATTTCACTAAATTTGGAGGTGGTTCAAAGGCCTCAAGAACCATTTCATATCTCTCATCTGTTTTCATTGGGCCATATTCAATTCCAAAATCTAAATATAAAGAGAGGAGGTTTGTCTTATTCCTAAGGTTTGCTTGCTTAACTTTACCCACATCTCTCACATTTTCTAACATCGAAATACCAAGACACCGGAGATTTGTCAAGTTTTTCAAACTTTCAATACTACATGCTTTACCGCCATGGCTACTACTACTCAGTACAAAATTTTTCAAAGTTCGAAGATAAGTTAATTCTTCAATTCCTTTCGGCATGTATTCTATCATAATTAAATCAACAATAAAATGCCTCAAGTTGATTAACTTTCCCATCTCTTGAGGTAATTTTGTTATATTATAACATTTGGCCATGTTTAACGTTTGTAGATTATATAAATCACACAATTCCTTCGGCAATTCTTTTAAATTCATATTATTAGATAAATCAAGATACCTCAAATGTATCATTTTTTTTATTTCTCTAGGGATTTCTTGAATACCAATTAAGCTAAACTTTAATGCTCGTAGACTTGAGTTATCAAATAATTTGGACGTAGTCAGTAGACTTCTCTGATCTTGACTCCTAGCCACAAGACTACGCAATCTTTTTTCATTACTAGTCTCTACACTAAAACATTCATTTTTTGTAAGAAATCGAGCAAAATCATGCACTATATCATGCATCTTACATCTTTCTATGCTACCATCATATTCATTTCTCTCAAAGTCTTGAAAAAAAGAGCGCATTGCTAAGTTTTCAAAGTATTCTTCCCCAATTAACTCCATGTCCTTATTTCGCTCATCCCTAAGGTAACTTTGAGCCATCCATAATTTAATTAATTCATCTTTTTCTATCACATGATCTTGTGGGAAAATAGCACAATATGAGAAGCATTTTTTCAATGGAAAAGGCAAATCATAATAGCTCAATAGTAAAGGTGGAAATATCCCTTGTTCTACCTCTTCTATTTCCCACATTTCGCTATCTAGAACATTTTGCCACTCTCCACTATATGCTTTGTAACGCAAGAGGCTTCCTAAGGTTTTTATAGCAAGAGGTAAGCCCTTGCATTTGGCTACAATTTTTCTACCAATATCTTCTAATTTTTCATTGGTTTCACCTGGAAATGTAATTTGACTAAATAACAACCAAGACTCATTTTCGGGTAATGTCCCTAACATGATTGTGTTGGTGGCTCCTATAGTTTTGGCAACATTTTGCTTACGTGTGGTAACTAGAATTCTACTTCCTTGAGAGCCATGCTTCAAGGCAATCATCAATTGCTCCCAATCTTTGGGATCCTCAGTCCATACATCATCTAGGACGAGAAAAAACTTCTTTCTCTCTAGAGATTTGCTTATCTTTTGCAAAATATTTTCTAATTCAACCGGTGGCCTTTCTAAAGGATTTGTTAGAAGAGGTTCGAGGATTGCTTTTGCAACCCTTGTCTCATCGAAAGGTTCCGAGACACATACCCATATCCTTTCATCAAAATGGGCTTTTACTTTATCATTATTAAAAGCTAGTCGAGCAAGAGTAGTCTTACCTATCCCTCCCATCCCTACAATAGAAATGATAGAGATGGCTGGTTCTTGACTACCCTCATTCAACAACTTGTTTAATAATTTATCCTTATCATCATCTCTTCCATGGACCATTGGCACATCAATAAGAGATGTAGTCATTGGTCGTCTTATTTCGATACTGCGTTCTGTCAAACTAAAACCAAACCTATTTTTTTCCGTAACAATAACATCTATAGTTTTATTTAGACTTTTTATCTTGCGAGCAATGGCACAAGGCAAGATAACTTTTCTAAAACAAAAGCTATAACAAGGGATGAGGGAACATACCTTTGTGATCATAGGCTTGGAGGCATTTCTAACTTCCTTAAGTTGGATTTTCCCAATAGAAGTGTTCCACTCATCCAACACATCATCTAGATCATAAGATGCCTCTTTAAGCTTATCCAACCAATCCCTCACAGCACGATCCTTGAATTGTCTGCTCTCCGCATCTTCAAGGACAGCCATAATGGATTGAAAATTGCTGGTGAGCTTACAGACGTTGTCATCAACACCCACCACCAGCGTCCACTGTTGCTCAATTTGTTGACGAGCGATTGAAGCCAACTGCTCCAAGATAAAAGAAACAAGTGCTTCAGCCATACTAAAAGATGGTAAATGATTGAAGAAAGATGAGAAATTGGTAATTTGTGTTGTGTGTAACAATGCTATGGCACAATTAATATATATAGTGCAATATGGAATAAAGAATACAATTCTTTACTTGCTGCATAGCTCGAACAAAAGTTTACTTAGATGCTGGTTAAGGTATAAATGTAACTGAAACAAGCTGCTTTGCATCATAAAAATTTATGGATTCTGCTGCGTATATATCAATTAAAAGCAAGAATATGATGCAATTGAAGTGTTAAGCCAATGTGCAAAGATCAGTTTGGTTTTAGAAGAAACTTTACTCAAAGAATAATATACCTTTGCTTCATGCGTGCTTATTCCCTCCTGAAGGTTGCAAGTCAAGCATAAAACACATTTGTGGCCATGCTCAACTTTTATTCCATGAAGTACTGTGAATGTTACATTTCTAGGAAGAACTGAGTATGAATCTTACGTACGAAAGGATGTGGTAACGTACCTAAATTGTGAAGAGACACTAAGATATTAATTGTGTTCTTGTAGAAAAAAAAAATGTAAGCAGTGGTGTTACTAAAGGGTGTAAATCAACTGATTAATAAAAGAGAGAAAACAAGAGGTTTAAAATAAATAAATAAATTTTCTCTTAATTGAGTAATGATATACATCCCAAAATATATTCCAAGATTTATATCTTAAAGTGAAGTGTCATTTGTCAAATCACCATTTCATTTGCATCTCAACACTATGATGCTATGTAGAATTACACATAATTTGGGATGAATTTTTTGCGGTAACTTTGAGATGTATAGTATTATTACACTCAAATTATTAAGCACTATATGAGCTTAGAGATAGCGTATAATGGTTATAAGCTTTAATATATTATCTGAAGTACTCAAATTATTGTTTTTCGGTTCCCCATTCACGATATCTGTTATGTATTAATGAAAACATTTCAGTCAATTTTCTTGCATCTGAAAAATATTTCCTTCTAATATAAAACTACCGATCCAAAAAAAAAAATTAAGATCTCAACATAAAAGAATGCTTCCAAATCTTACCATTATGTGTTGACCATTTTTGTGAAAGAACTTTACTTGAGACTCGTTATAAGATTCGGCATTATAATTATAGGACTGATAAATATGTTCCAGATAAGGGCTCCATTAAAGGAGATAAGGGATTGAAATATGATTATGGGAAGTTTTATGCTTCCAAGACTTTCTTTTTTAATGAATCATCAAGTGTGGAGGATGATGTTAAGAAGGGATGGTCCGGAATTCAGGTAATTTAGTGATCATTAGTCATTGCTTATAACCATTACTATCTACCGAAATCCACATTTAAAAAAATTTAGTCGCTAAAGACTGTCTTCTTGGATTCAATAATGGAAGTGAAGCTGTAAAGATTGCAAGCTTGAATGCCTGGAGCATGAAGGACGCTCAAATTAATTGAAGCAAAAAAAATGATAAAATTTTGAGAGGATTTTTCAGTGCTATATGTTGATCCTTTTCTTGTAAATGTGAAGTCGAAGAAATTAAAGGGAAATGGTATTTTAATAAAGAGGGTACTTCTTTATTATATCAAAAAAAAAAAAAAAAAAAATTGATATATTAATGATAAGATCTTATATGTATCGAAAAGCTAATATGTGTACTTGATTAAGAAATGAATGTAATATTCATATTTACGACTAAAGGAAGAAAAGTGTAAAACTTGCATCAAATAATAAGAATTTTACAACTTATTAACAGTATTTTACCATGGGACGTTGTCACAACTGATATTGTTAACAAGCATTTTCTCTTTTTGATAACCGAGGTTTCCGAGCCCCTACTTACCTCAAGGTTTACTACAAGTGAAACCTGGGATATGTCAAGCCTGTCTAATCCTCGAGACTCAATAGATACTCTACAAACTCAATAGATCTAATAAATGACAAATATAGTAAGTGATCACTCTAGTAGTGAATCGAACACAAGATTTCTGGGTTCATTGACAATTCAAACCCAATGGCCTACCATCCAGCCACAACGGAGTTGGTTTAAGAGAGTATTTTTAATATTCAGTTTATAAGGTTTGTTTGTGTTACCAAAAATAAATAGACGTATTCTATGTAGACGACGCTTCTGTAAAACTTGAATGGAAACTCATGGGAGCTTAGACCCAATAAATTTTGCGTGTTTGGGCTTATGGTGAACGGTTTTTGCTTGGTTGGGCTTGGACTCAATAAAGTTTGTTGGGTCTTAAGGGGATCTAAGGTTTGCAGGCTTGAGCCTAAAGTATGCATTTTCCTTTTTAGTTGGGCTTGAATCCATCAGAATTTTCTATTGCAATTGGGGAGTAATAAAATTGTAAAAAATGCCTTTGGGAAATGAATTAAATTACTTCAACACCACAGCTGAATTATTCAAATTAGAGAAAATTATTAATATTTTGATCTCTTCTATTTTGAAACCAAACTTATTCTTAATAGATTAATAAAATAAAATAAAGCAAATCAAACACACAATAACACAAGATTTTACGTGATTTTAACTAAATTTGCTTACATCCATAAGACGTGATCAATTCACTATAAATATTACAAGCACAATACAAGATCAAACCCTTGTCAGCCCATCTCAATTTTGACACTCAAAATCAATCACTCAAGACTAATCCCAACCCAGCACTAAACCACCCGTTCTGTGTTTTGACATTCAAATATCTTACTTTTCTTATCACACATCAACACTCTGAAACCAAAAATCTCCCACTTATATTGTACAAAACTCTCATCACATACAATTTTTTTTTTTTTTCGGTAACCAAGGTATCCAGGCTAACTTACTTGTACCTCAACTAATTTTCATGATCCATTAAGTACCTTACAAACCTCATCAACTGGGTATAACATAATTATGCATTGAGATAGATGACCCCAAGGTTTGAACCCATGAAGTCAAGGAAGGGAGCACACCTCCTTGATCACCAGGCCAACCCCTTGGGGTTACATCCCATTTTACATGGAATCTTAGCTATTTATGAAATAAATTTCTTCCCAAATAGTACTAAAATCCCTTCTTAAATAAAGAACTACAAAATTGTCAAATGCGTTTGAGGAACTTATTATTGCAGGTATTGAGCCCAATACCACCTGGCCTGGCTTCATCACCTTGAAAGACTTTCTTCTGCCATCCACAGTAAATACAAAAATAATCCATCCTCAAAATAATGCTTCATATATTTAGGAGGCAATACTTGCATCAAAGCTAAAGTTTTTCCTACCTTGGCAACAGATCATAGTTAAGTGCCACTTGCTTTTATGCTTTCAATAATGGAACTGATAGAGTAAATGTTTACAAACCGCCACAATGCCTGGAGAATGAAGAAATCTAAAATTAGTTTGAGAAGTTTATCATTCAAAAAATTTTCGTAGCTAAATGTGACATTTTTTATATTGCCAAACTCAGTTATAAGAACAGATTATTGTGATGAACAAAAGAAATTATGAATTGGAATAAACTTTTTTAAATCTATATGTTTTGAATTAAGAATCTTCATTACATAAATTTTCCCAATGAATGGTCAAGATTTACTACCTTGCTTGCAGCCAAACCATTTGAAGTTTTCTATGTCCATGAGAACACTTGATTGTGTTGAATCATTTGATACCATATCGCCTTTGCTATATCATCTCTTGTTAAGTCCACCAGGCGACGATGAAAATGAATCAAAATGAACATATTAACAGCAAAAATTTATAACTTATAATTCTATAATTCAAGCACAAAATGGAAGAAGAAAGGTTATATCCAATTATCCATAGAAGTTTGATTGATATAAATATACCTTCTTCCAATCCTTCATTTCATTAATTGTCTTTAATTTCCAATTTTGATACCCTTTTAAATTCCTCTGCCTTTAGCCAAGATACATGGGAAATTAAAAATTTATCACAAACAGTAAAAGATAACACAAATTATTAAATTAATGTACTTGCTTCACAAAATGGTACACCATTTTAACTCATAAATAATTTTCTTGCTAAAGAAATGATTAATTACGTGAATTCCCAATGACTAAGGAGAATGAAAATAAGCTGAAAATATATAAATCCATGCAATTAGCAAGCGCAGAACACTGGAACCAGTGAGCCCGGTAAGAAGAAAGAATGTATCAAATGTTCACCATTTTCCTTACACTGGCTTTCTAAATCCTGACAATACAGCTAAAACATATTCAATAGATAGAATTTGATGCCTTTTTTACATGAGGCCACAATATTTTTAAATAATATATCTTAAATTGTTGTAGCTCAGTATATGGAAAAGGAAAAAAGCACCTCATTATTAAACATGCCACGCTTGTTTAGTACACCAACTGCTGACATTTATTTATTCTTCAAGCAATTCATCAAAATTTATGAGGTGCTTTACAATGGAGAGCTCCGGTGGAGGGGGCAAGATTGCATCATAGCTTGAGTGCCTGGGTCATGAAGAAAAGTCAAATTAACCAGTTTAAGCAAAGAATCATGGAAGATGATGAAAGAAATTTGAATAATTGCTCTAAAGACTCTTAGAGAAATTTCACCAAATAATGTTCAACATTATACCATTGATGTACTTTGTTTATAAGAAAAAAAAAATGCGGTTTCTTTATAAACTATTACCTGAATGTCCAACGAGCTTTTGAGGAGAATGGAAAACAAAGGTGAAATATCTAATCCGTGTAACTGGCAAGCACATAACATTGGGGCCAATGAGTCCGTAACAAGAAAGAATATATCAAAATGTCGAATGGAACTGCTACAAGTTTGTAAAAGCCTTAATACATTCAATCATGCAAACCTTAAATTTTAGTGGTAAAAGAATCCTGACAATTTGACACGAAACATCTTCTTTAGATGGAATTTGATGCTTGTTTATTAAATGAAGCCAAAACATAAACCAAACATCTATATATGTAAAAGCAAAAAGAACCACATTACTTGGCCAAGCTTGTAATGCATCAACTCTTGAATTTTTTTTTTTTTTCTTGACAACGTTAATGATACGACCAATGCCTGAAACTTATTCTTCAAGAAATTTATGAAATAATGAACTTGCACCATTGTTGGAATGGAAATATCAAAATCAAATTTCTTAACTGAAAAATAAAAAAAAGGCCTTCCAAGATGTTAATAGACAAAAGAAAGAATAATTGAAATTAGCAAAGGAAATTACCTCCAGAGTTCTGTATGTATAGCTTCACCACATCCTCCTGTATCGCAACCAAAAAGAAAATATTATTTTTATAGTAATTTAGAATTACTTGTATGTCTATGAGCACAAATACTGGAATAATTCATAGCAATTATTTATGTAGCCAAAACTTCTTGATGATACTGACATGAAATTCAATGGCTAAGATGCTTGGAAAAACACCTTGATCACATTTACAGCAACTCAAAACACTTCTGGATTGATGCCTTCAGTAACACAGAGCAATCCAATAATTCACCATAATTGCTTCCCCACATTAGGCCTTCTCAATTCTACACACACTTCATTGAATAGGAAATATTGTTTCTCCTGCATTCGGTTTGTCCCAGTTGAGAAGAAAAACAAAACAAACTTATCCCAAGATGCCTTGTTTTCTCCTCAAGAAACGTACTCTTCTCAGTTGTCCCCGCAAACCAACAAAGGATTCAATAAAAGCCCCCAAACAGGACATCTCATTTTTTTATTTTTAAGAGCCTGCAACATTAATAGATGAGAAAGACTTAGACAAAATATTAACAAAATACATCCAACATTATATGATATAAAGCAATAGTTGGTGCAGTTTAATACCTTTGGTTGTGAAATAATGGCCTTAGAATGGAATTCTGCATGAGGATTACGCCACCTTATATCATCGTAGAATAAATCAAACTTATCCAAAACATTCACAAGAAGAACCAATATAAGCCATCATGATTCTGCCCAAACCCTTGATCGTATTAAAAAGTTTCTCCATCATTCTGTCCATTGCTCTGCTCATCATCAACTAAGTCATACTTAAAAGGTCATTCTCAGTATAAGCAATATCTTGTCACTGACAACTCCTTTGAGAAAAAATAGTGAGCTCAAATTTTATCTGTTGATCAAAAAACATTTGATAGCAGTATCGATATGGTTCCCTGAAACGCAAGCCTTGGTTCAGCCATTTCATCTTTCAAACACCTTCTATGCATAATTCTGTTCACCCAAATGTACAATTTCAAATAAAAAGAAGTAGTTCAACATCCGCAACAAAAATGGAATATACAAAACAAATGCCATAGTAAAAACTGTAAAGGAGAGTTAATGAGCATATGAGTCCATCCTGAAGAAAGAAGACAAAGAAAGATAAAACCAGATTTAATTAAGAGTAACATTGAGTCTACCCGGCCTCAACATAATTTTAGCGTAGAGATGTTTCAATTAATTGCAGATAACAACAAACTTAGAAAAGGAGAAGAAATTACCAGTGGGTGGATCATCTTAATGTAATTTATGGATTCTGCAATTAAAAGCGAGAATATGATTCAATTAAACCTTGGTAACTAGAATTCTATTTCTTTGAGAACCAACCTTCAAAGCAATCATCAATTGCTCCCAATCTTTAGGATCCTTCGTTCATACATCATCTGGGATGGGAAAAAACTTATTTCTCTCAAGAGATTTCACATATTTTTTGCAAAACATTTTTGAATTCAACTATTGCCTTTCGAAGAATCTTTCACAAGAGATTCAATGACTACTTTTGCATTAATTCAATACATAGTTCATGGAATAGAGAAATGGACTCTTTACTTGACGTAGAGTTCAAATCAAAGTTTATTTAGATGCTCGCCCCATATATAAGAGATCTAAATAAGTCCAAGACAAGCTGATTTTGCCTTTTGGATTAAAGAATTGATGAATTGATGAAAAAAAGTATCTGATGCAATTAAATTATAGGTTTAAATCCCAAAAGATTTACTGAACGAACAACTAAGCTAAGATTTGCTTCATGCGTGCTCATTCCTTCATGCGTACAAGTTTTAGTATTAATTGCTGTTAAACATTAACTAATAAAAATAAAATATGAACATATCTTATATTAATTCATTGAAATGTAAGAACTTATCAGCATATGAACACATCTCCAGGAGCTTATAATTCTATAAAAATCAAAAGTTGGAACAACCGAATAAATAGAATATATACATGTAGCCTCCACATTATTATTGTTGGCCCAGCCCTTTAATTGACTTAGGCTTCATGGGCTTGTATATCACCATGTGCAAGCCGGAGTCCACTTGATTTCATAGCTAGCCCACTTGAAGATACCTCTTATATCTGCAAATTAGTTTCAGTGGCCATTAATGATAATATCATCACTCAACAAAGCTTCAACTATGCTTCATCCATTTCATCTCTTTGATGTTGATTGGCTACCTATTCATTTTTTGAAACTCCTTTGTGTAGTCCTCTTTAATCTCTTCACATTCTTGAAGTAGTACTTAGTTTGATTCATTAATATCCATTTAAACTCCTCAAAGTATTCAATTGCTATTTGGGAGTCGTTTAACAAAATAATAATAATAGCAAATTAAATGAAATCAGTCACACAATAACGTCAGATTTTACGTGGTTCGATTAAATTTGTCTACATCTACGGGACGTGATCAATTGACTAAAAATATAACAAATAGAATACATGATTAATCGCTCTAGACTAATCACAACCCAGCCTTGAAACTTTTCACACCCCTTACAATTTTGACAATCTAATGCCCAGCTTTTCTAGTCACATATATCAACACTCTCAAACAAAAAGAAAAAAAAAGCTCTCACGAACAACTTTACAGAGAATCTAACCTGCTTACAAAATAATTTTTTTCTCAAATTGTACTTAAAACCATACTTAAATAAAGAACTACAATATTCTCAAATGAGTTTGAGCAACTTCAATACCACATAACTAAAAACATTTTGAATATTCAACTTCAATACTCTACAAACCCAATAGACCAAGTAAGTGACAAATATGACAGGTGGTCACTTTCTTGATTAATCAAACACAAGATCTCTATGTCTATTGACAAGTCGAACCCAATGGTCTACCATCCGGCCATAAATGAGTTGGTTTAATGATTATTTTTAATATTCAATTTATAAGGTTTGCTTGCGTTAACAAAAATAAATAGATGTATTTTATGTAGATGATGCTTGCTTAAAACACGAATGCAAACTCATGGGAGCTTAGACCCAATAAATTTTACGTATTTGGGCTTAAGGTGAACAGCTTTTACTTAGTTGGGCTTGAACTCAATAAAGTTTGTTGGGCCCAAAGGGAATCTAGGGTTTGCAGGATTGAACCTAAAGTAAGCATTTTCCATTTTAGTTGGGCTTGGACCCATCAAAATTTTCAATTGCTATTTTAAAAGCTCTATTGCCATTGGGGAGAAATAAAATTGTAAAAATTGCCTTTGAGAAATGAATTAAATTACTTCAAGACCACAGCTGAATTATTCAAATTAGAGAAAATTATTAATATTTTGCTCTCTTTTATTTTGAAACCAAACTTATTGTTAATAGATTAAGAAAAAAAAAATAAAATAAAATCAATCAATCACACCATAACACAAGATTTTATGTGATTCGTTAAATTTTTTTGCACTCATGAGACATGATTAATCCACTATAAATATTACAAACACAATACAATATTAAACCCTTGTCAACCCATCTCAATTTTTGACACTCAAGATCAATCGTTAAGACTAATTTCAATCTATCCTTGAAACCTTTGTACCATCATTCTCGGTTTTGATATTCAAATACATAATTTTTCTTGTCACATATCAACACCTTGGAACCAAAAAATTATCACGTATATTGTCCAAAACTCTCATCACATACACAAGGGGACTACAATACTAGAAATGAGAAAGATTAGCCAAAACTTAAAAAAAACTCCAAAATGTGCTTTGATTTAATCATTCATGATCTTATACATTGAGATGTTTTTTTCAAATTTTAGTAATAGAGGCAGATTTGGTAAAAATTAAGGCATATTATATAAAACATAATTTAATACAAAACGTAAAATAAATAAAGCACAAAAAATATTAAAAAAATAAGTTTATTAAGGAAAAAGAAACCAAGAAGACAACCACAAGAGATATCATGTTGACAATTAAAGATTCATATCTGAATTATTGGTAAAATAATAAATTATGAAGCATGGTGATGACGTGTCATGATTTTATTGGCAACTGTACAGTTACAGCCGAGGGTGGGCAAAGTTGTTGTTCTACGGCCACCGACTTATTGAGAACCGCGGGCCACCCATCTATCTTTTGGAAAAGGAGCGAAGATGGTCCCAGTGCTGTGCTACGGCACCGACTTAGAGAGCGTGGAAGCATGCGTCACTTGATCAAGTCCAAAGTGCTGAAAATTTGATTCAGTCCGGACCTGGTTAGGTAATATCATTAAACCGCTCTTGTGCCAAGAACTTTATAAACCCTTGTTGTTTGTGAACATATCAATGACCCCTACCAACGGGGATGGAATTGTTATTACAGGCAAAAAAAAAAAAAAAAATGTTATTCAACCCACTTTTATGAAAGTGTGAAACTATCCAATAAATCTTATCATTATTATTAACATAACCCCAAAAAGTGTTATTTTTATTTATTATTTTTAATAATGAATTATTGGAACAAGATTTAGTTGATACTTCTTGACTTCTTGTAGTGAGGTGCTAGTTTTACACAAGGATTGTATTTCATTAAGTCTATGGTTAATAGACATATGACGTATGATAAACTAACAAATATCCCTCTAAGGTATTTGAAATATCAAAAATTCCTTTAATGTTAATGAACCATTAATGAGTTGTTAAATTCACAAAGTTAAAGTTTGAAAATATTACAAATTGTTCTTAATCTTTTATTTTAACACTTAAAACTTAACGATACGAAGATATTTGTTTTTCAAAATGAATTAGGATTCTTGGGCTTCCTTATCAAATGTATGAGCCGAACTCCACTTGATTTAATGGCTACCTCATTTGAAAAGAATTTTTTAAAGTAAACATGTTTTGATTGAATGACATTTTTGTGAAACTCAAAAGAATAAATTTGTGCTAGTTGGGCTATAATAGAGTTAAGCTACTCAATCGGTGAGATGCAATAATTAATAGAAAATTTATTGTAATTAAATGTCATGTAAAGTTTAAAAAAATTTTTCCAAACCGGGATGTGAAGGGGTTAAAACCACCCTAAACTGATTTGTAAGAGGTGATTAATTGACAATAATAACTAAATAAATAAAATCAATCACACAAAAACACCAGATTTTACGTGGTTCGGCAAAATTTGCCTACATCCACGGGACGCGATCAATCCATTAGAAATGTCAAAACACAATACAAGATTTATCGCTCAATACTAACCCCAGCCTAACCTGAAACCCTTGTAACCCCTTCTCAGTAAATATATAAAAATTCTCCCTCTCTACTCTCAAAAAAAAAAAAAAAAAAAAAAAAAAAAAACACATTATAGCATTGAACTCTCACATACAATATCCAAGAATCAATATATCAAAATAAGTATAAAAACTATTCTATCTTAAACAAAGACTTGTATCAAAACTAGAGTTAATCCTACCTTTTGCTTTCAATAATGGAACTGATAGTGAAAATGTTCACAAGCTTCCTCAGCGCCTGGAGAGTGGAGACAAGAAAGCTAAAATTAGTTTGACATTGATATGCTAACTCATATGGAATGATCAGATTTACTACCTTGCTTGTAGCCAAACCATTTGAAGAAATCAATGTCTATGTGAACAGTTCATTCTGTTAAATTATTTGATATCACATCATCTTTTTATATCATCTCCTGTTAAGTCCAATACATGCAATGAAAACAAGACTTGTAATTTTCAAATATAAGCACAAGAATGGAACAAGAGATTATGTCCATAGAAGTTCTACTGATTTAGAAATACCTTCTTCCAATCCTTCACTTCATTTTGCATTAGTTTCCAATTTTGATCCTCTTTCAAATTCCCCTTCCTTTAACCAAGACATTGCAAGATGAAATTAGTATTTTATTACAAACAGTAGGACAATAACAAAATTAATGTACTTACTTAACAAAATAATACACCATTTTATTTATGCCAAGCTCATTTAGTATATCAACTCCTAACATTAATTGGTTCTTCAAGCAATTCATAAAATGTTTAAAACTTGCTCATAGTAATTGCTTTTAAATAAAAAAGGCTTTTGTATAAATTAGTTACCGAATTTACAGCAACCTTTCGAGGAGAAGAATTATTAAGGTCGAATATAAATTCGTGCAATTAGCAACATAATACTTGAGCCAAAGAGTCTTGTCAAGCAAGAACATGTCAAATTGTTGAATGGAACAGCTAGAAGATCCTACAAGCCATAATTCAATCAAGCATGCAAACACATTTTGCAGAAATAACCTTGTTCATACACCTCAAATTTTGGGTAGCATGAGTTTCTGACAATCTGATCCTCCATGAAACATCATCTTTAGATGGAATTTGATCCCTGTTTACTCAAATAAGCCAAAAGATATACCAAATAACTTAACATGAGGTAGCATGTGTAGATATAAAATACAAAATGAACCTCATTACTTTGACAAGATTGCGTAATTTTCTTTTTGGCAGTCTCGATGGTTCGATCAACACCTGAAATTCAGAATTAATTGTGTGAGTCCATGAGCACAAACTTCCAAAACAAATAACTAAACACATACTGGAATCATTCATAGCAATTGTTTATGTAGCCAGAACTTGTTGAGAATACTGACATGAATTTCAATGGCTAAGATGCTTGAGAAAACTCCTTCATTGCATATATAGAAGCTCAAAACACGTCAGGATTCATGCGTCAATAACCTTAATAAAAACGTCCACAGCGTGACATCAAATTTGTACTGTTGAGGAGGTTGCAACATTAAGAGATGAGAAAGATTAGCCAAAACTTAATAAATCAACTCCAAAATGTATAATTACTGGGTGCAGTTTAAATACCATTTGGGCGTGAAATCACGGTCAAAGCAGTGAAAGTCGCAGACCGATACCAAGAATAACACTGACCAATCCAATAATTCACCATAATAACTTCCCCACATTAGGCCTCCTCAATTCTACACACCCTTCAGCGCATAGGAAATATTGTTTCTCCAGCATTCCGTCCGTCCCACTTGACAAAAAAACAGAACAAATTTAATCCCAAGATGCCTTGTTTTCTCCTCAATAAACATACTCTTCCTTGTTGTCCTCAGCAAACACACATGAGGATTCAATGAAAGCCTACTGCGCTACAGCACATCGTATGTTTATTTAAGAGCCTACAACATTAAGAGACGAGAGAGACTTGGCCAACACATACAAAATCAATTCCCACAGTATATAATATAAAGCAATAATTGGTGAAGTTTATTACCTTTGGTTGTGAACTAATGCCACCTGATAGCAGCCAAGAATAACACAAACTCATCCAAAACATTCACTGGAAAAAGCTATCCCATCTTTTCAAAGATGTAATATCTAGTCAGAAATGCTTCATCAGTCTCAAAGACTTTCTTCTGCCATCCATTGTAAATATAAAAATATTCCGTCTTAAACATAACACTGCATGCATATGTTTAGGGGGCAAGACTTGCGTCAAAGCTAGAGTTAGTCCTACTTTGGCAACAAATCATAGTTAAGCCCCTTGATTTTATATGCTTTCAATAATGTATCTGATGATGTAAATGTTTATAAGCCGCTGCAGTGCCTGAAGAATGAAGAAAGCTACAATCATTATCATTCAACGAAAAGCTAGAGTATTTATTTTCAGACCTCAATGTGACATTTTTGACATTGCTAAACGTAGTTATTACAACAAAGTATTGTGATGAAAAAAAAGAATTTGTGAATTGAAACAAACTTTTTAACATGTTTTAAAATAAGAATATCATTACATGTACTACCTTGCTTGCGGCCAAACCACTGCAAGTTTTTAATGTCCAGATTCTATTGAATTATTTGCTATATCATCTCCTGCTAAGCCCACCAGGTGACATTGAAAATGGATAAAATGAACATATTAGCAGCAAAAATTTCCTACTTATACGTCTATAATTCAAGCACAAAAATTGAAGAAGAAAGGTTATATCCAATTATACATAGAACTTTGATTGATATAAATATACCCTCTTCCAATCCTCAGTAGAACGATAACAGAAATTAATGTACTTGCTTCACAAAATAATACAGCCTTTAAACTCATAAATAACTTTCTTGCTGAAAAAAAGATTACCTAAATTCCAAGTGACAGAAGAGAATGAAAAATAAGGTGAAAAATATATAAATCCATGCAATTAGTAACCACAGAACATGTAGCCAGTGAGCCTGGTAAAAAGCAAGAATGTATCAAATGTTCACCATTTTCCTTACACTGGCTTTCTGAATCTTGACAATCCAGCTAAAACATCTTCAATATATGTAATTTGATAACTGTTTTACATAAGGCCAGAATATTGATAAACAATAAATCTTAAAATGTTGTAGCTGAGTATATAGAAAAGGGAAAAAGCACCTCATTATTAAATATGCCACGCTTGTAGTACACCAACTCCTGACATTAATTGATTCCTCAAGCAATTCATTAAAATTTATGGCTTGCTTTTCAATGGAGAGCTCTGGTGGAGAGGGCAAGATTACATCACAGCTTGAGTGCCTGGATCATGAAGAAACGTCAAATTAACCAGTTTAAGTGAAGAATCACAGAAGATGAAGAAAGTAATTTGAATAATGGCTCTCACAAATTAATAGATGCTTAAGAGAAATTTCACAAAATAATGTGCAACATTATATCATTGATGAAAGAAAAGAAAAGAAAAGAGGTTTCTGTATAAACTAATTACTTGAATTTACAGCGACTTTTTAAGAAGAATGAAAAACAAAGGCGAAATATATAATCTGTGAAATTAGCAAGCACATAACACTGGGGCCAATGAGTCTGGTAACAAGAAAGAATATATCCAAGTGTTGAATGGAACTGCTAGAAGTTTTTACAAGCCTTAATTCATTCAATCATGCAAACCTTAAATTTTAGTGGTAGACATGAGTTTCTGAATCCCGACAATTTGGCCCAGCAAAAAACATCTCCTTTAGATAGAATTTGATGCCTGATTATTAAGCGAAGCCAAAACATAAACCAAACATCTTAACATGATGTAGTATCTATAAATGTAAAAGCAAAAAGAACCATATTACTTGGCTAAGCTTGTGTAATGCATCAACTCCTGAAATTTTCTTTTTGACAACCTCAATGATACTACCAATGCCTGAAATTGATTCTTCAAGAAATTTATGAAATAATGAACTTGCACCATTGATGGAATGGGAATATCAAAATAAAATCTTCTTAACTAGAAAAAAAAGGCCTTCCAAAATGATAATAGACAAAAGAAAGAACAATGCAAATTAGCAAAGGAAATTACCTCCAGAGTTTTGTATGTTTAGCTTCACCAACATCACTCGTATATCGCAACCCAAGAAGAATATTTATTTTTATAGTAATTTAGAATTAATTGCATGTCTATGAGAAAAAATACTGGAATCATTCATAGCAACTGTTTATGCAGCCAGAATTTGATGATACTGACATGAAATCAATGACTAAGATGCTTGGAAAAACACCTTGACTGCATTTACAACAGCTAAAAACACTTCTGGATTGATGCCTACAATAACTTCAATAAAAACGTCCACAACATGACATCGAATTTGTACTTAGAGGAGGCTGCAACATCAACAGATGAGAATGATTAGCTCATACTTACAAAACCAACTCCAACAATATATAATAAAGAAATTGTTAGGTGAATTTTAAATACCATTTGAGTGTGGATTATTGATCAAAGCAGGCATAATTATTTGCCGCTTCATAGAACCAAGAATAACACACAGCAATCCAATAATTCACCATAATTGCTTCCCCACATTAGGCCTTCTCGATTCTACACACACTTCATTGCATGAGAAATATTGTTTCTCTTGCATTTGGCCTATCCCAGTTGAGAAAAAAACAGAACAAACTTATCCCAAGATACCTTGTTTTCTCCTCAAGAAACATACTCTTCTCAGCTGTCACCGCAAACACACAAGGATTCAATAAAAGCCCCCAAATAGGAATCTTATTTTTTATTTTAAGAGCCTGCAACATTAATAGGTTAGAAAGACATAGACAAAATATTAACAAAATCACCTCCAACATTATATGATATAAAGCAATAGTTGGTGAAGTTTAATACCTTTAGTTGTGAAAAATAATGGCCTCAAGCATGGAATTCTGCCTGAGGATTAAGGCATCTTATAGCATTCTAGAATAAATCAAACTTATCCAAAACATTCACAAGAAGAACTTTACAATATAAGCCTTCATGATTCTGCCCAAACCCTTGATCGTATTAAAAAGTTTCTCCATCATTCTGTCCATTGATCTGCTCATCATCAGCTAGTCCTATTAAAACGTCATTCTCAGTATAAGCAAATATCTTGCCACTTACCCTCCCCCTTGAGGGAAAGTGAGCTCCAATTTTTTCGTTACTCAGCAAACATTTGATAGCAGGATAGATATGGAGCCCTGAAACGCAAGTCTAGGTTCAGCCATTTCACCTTCTGGACACCTTCAGTGCATAAAACTGTTCGCCAAATGTAACAGTTCAATTCAAAAGAATAACTCAAAACTCTTACACAGTAGTTCAACATCCGCAACAAAAATGGAATATAAAAAACAAATGCAATAAGAAAAACTGTAAAGGAGAATTAATAAGCAGATTTAATTACGAGTAATATTTAGTCTACCCGGCCTCATAACATAATTGTAGTGTAGAGATGTTTCAATTAATTGCAGATAACAACAAACCTAGAAAAGGAGAAGAAATTACCAGTGGGTGGATCACCTCAATGTAAAGGTAACATTAGGAAGGTGGGAGATCTCAGACCAGTTGTCACCTGTCTCCTCCTTGTAACGCGGACCTAGAATATCGAATCTCCAATTGTTTTCATGTTGGCAATTGAAGAATGGAATTGGGCAGCTGTCTTCAATGAAAACCGACATCAAATTTGTATTGCAGAGGAGGCTGCAACATTAAGAGATGAGAAAGATTAGCCAAAACTTATAAAAAAAATCAATTCCAAAATGTATAAATGACTGGTGCAGTTGAAATACCATTATAGTGTGAAATCACGGGCAAAGTAGTGAAAGCCGTAGACCGATTTTCCACTACATAGAACCAAGAATAACACAGACCAATTATTATAGAGCGCAAAGGATTATTTAATTTTACTTTTAAAAGAAATATTAAATACATTTTATGAGAGACAACTTTAGATAGAATTAATTGATCCTAAAACTTTTGAATAAAGTCAATAAATATTTTTGGTATTTATATTATAAAGTCAATAATATAAACAACAAACATTAAAGAATAAACAACACTCTTCCCAATAAACAACAAACTTAAAAATGGAGAAGAAATTACCTATGGCCAAATGCTGACGTCAAGAATGTGAGAGATCTTGTGCCAATCTTCACCCGTCTCCTTCTTGTAACGCTGACTTAGAATATCGCAATACTCAATCTCCAATTGTTTTAGTGTTGGCGATTGAAGAATGTAATTGGGCAGCGTTTTTAATTTGGGGGCTCCAGAAATCTTCAAGTAATGCAGAGATGGCATGATAGTAATAACTAATTCATCTCCTTTCAAAGTAATATCATCCGACTCTTCCCATCCAGCTGACATCCCATCAAACACAAGCCTTTTTAATTTGGGAAAGACAATACGAGATCTAGCAGTGCCATCACTTTCTATTCCCAAAAATTCATTGCCCACTTTTTTTACATTCATAGGCCTATCTATAAAGAGTGATTCAAGAGATGGTAACTTCCCGAAAGGAGGCAAATACTAACAGTTGTAGCAATGAATAAGTGTTAACTCCCTCAACTGAGTTAATGATGCTATCCAATTTAGCCTTATAGCTTTACCTCCACAATCCTTTAACCATAATTTCACTAAATTTGGAGGTGGTTCAAGGGCCTCAACAACCATTTCATCTCTCTCACTGTCAACCATTTCAATTCCAAAATCTAAAACTAAAGAGAGGAGGTGTTTGCGTCCATAATGAGCGTTTGCATCCGGTGTTTCTTACTTGTATCTTGAAAAAGAAAATCTACAACAGGAAATGCAAAATTAATATTGGTTCATGAACGAAAAATTGCAAAGCTAAATACCAGACTACTAAGTGGAATCATTCATAGTTATCGGCAACACAGCCAGCACTTGTTGACGATACTGACAAGAAATACATCTCTAAGATGCTTGGAGAAATGTTTGATAGCGTTTATAGTAGCCCAACAGACATGAGGATTCAATTAAGGCCTATAACAGGGTATCCTATGTTTATTTAAGAGATGAGCATGGCTTAACCAACACTTAAAAAATCAACTCCTACATTATACAATACAAAGCAATAGTTGGTGAAGATTAATACCTTTGGTTGTGAAATAATGGCCAAAGCATTGAAAGCCGTATGAGGAAAATGCCACCTTATAACAGCAAAGAATAACACAATTTCATTCAAAACATTCACAGGAAAAACTTTCCCACATAAGCCATCATCCAGTCTGTCCATTGCTCTTTTCATCAATCATTTTAAAAAGTCATTCTGAGTGAAAGCTAGAATGCAATATCCATAAGGTCCCCTGAAACGCAAGCCTTGGTTCATCCATTTCTTCTTTCAAACACCTTCCCTGCATAAACCTGGTAACTAAAATCAGAACTAATGCATAGTAATTCAATATTCGCAATATAAAATAAATGTAATAGAAAAAACTGTAAAGGTGAGTTAATGAGCATATATACAAAGAGAGAGAGAGAGAGAGAGAGAGAAGAAATTACCAGCGACAGTGAGTGGATGGCGATTGTAGCTCTTGTAATCATATTTCAACAAGCCAGTCTTCACCTGTCTCCTTGTAATGCGGACGTAGATTTTTTTTCATGTTGGCGATTGAAGAGTGTAATCTATAGAGGGACTATGACTAACCCAAAATTTAGAATAAAGTCAATATATATTTTTGGTATTTATATTATAAAGTCAATAAAATAAAAAATAAAGCACAACAAACATTAGAAAATAGTTGAAGCATCAAACATGAATATGATTTCATTGACAATTAACAAAACAGCATCATATATCATGACAAAAAGTTTGGTTTTAATTGTAGATAACGACAAGCTTTAAAATGGAGAAGAAATTACCTATCTTCGTTACTTTCCTCGTCTTCGTCTTGTGCCAGGAATGTGACGTCATTAGGAGATGGTGACGTCAGGAATGTGAGAGATCTTGTGCCAATCTTCACCTGTCCCCTTCCTGTAACGCTGACTTAGAATATCGCAATACCCGATCTCCAATTGTTTTAGTGTTGGCGATTGAAGAATGTAATTGGGCAGCCTTTTTAATTTATCGGTGCAAGAAATTTTCAAGTAACAAAGAGATGGCATGATTGTATTAACTAATTCATCTCCTCTCAAAGTATTATCATCCCACTCTTCCCATTCATCCATCAGATAAAACTCAAGATTTTTTAATTTGGGAAAGGCAATAAAAGATCTGCAAGTGCCATCATTTTCTATTCCCAAAAATTCGGTACCCGCTTTTTTTACACTCTTAACTCGTATAGAGAGTGATTCAAGAGATGATAATTTTCCTAAAGGAGGCAAATACTCACACTTGTAGCAATTAAAAAGTCTTAAATCCCTCAATTGAGTTAATGACACCATCCAATTCGGCCATATAGTTTTACCTCCATATTTCCATAAACGTAATTTCACTAAATTTGGAGGTGGTTCAAAGGCCTCAAGAATCATTTCATCTCTTTCATCCGTTTTAAGTTGGCTATATCCAAAATCTAAAAGTAAAGAGAGGAGGTTTGTCTTATTCCTAAGGTTTGATCCCTTAACTTCACCCACATCTACCACATTTGCTAACCCCGAAATACCAAGACACCGAAGATTTCTCAAGTTTTTCAAACTTTCAATACTGCATGCTTTACCGCCATGGCTACTACTACTCCATACAAAATTTTCCAAAGTTCGAAGACAAGTTAATCCTTCAATTCCTTTTGGCATGTATTCTACTTTAGTATCATTAATTATCAAATGCCTCAAGTTGATTAACTTTCCCATCTCTTGAGGTAATTTTGTTAGACTATAACAACGGCTAATGTTTAACGTTGTAGATTATATAAATCACATAATTCCTTCGACAATTTTTTTAAACTGAAATTATTAGATAAATCAAGATATCTAAGATGTATCATCTTTTTTATTTTTCTAGGGATTTCTTGAATAGTAGTGAAGCAAAACTGTATTGCTCGTAGACTTAAGTTATCAAATAATTTGGACAGAATCAGCAGTCTTTCCATATATTTACTCTTAACCACAAGACTACGCAATTTAATTTCATTATAAATGCATACAGAAAACGAGGCTCCTTCTCTTTCTATAGGAAAAAAGTTTCCTCCAAATATTAAGTATGGTCTTTCTCTAAGTATTACCATTGAGTGTCGAACATTTTTTAATGAAGACTTTAACTGAGACTCATTGTAATTATCAATCTCTATCTCTATACTAAAACATTCATTTTTGGTAAGAAATTGAGCAAAATCATGCACTATATCATGCATCTTAAAACTTTCTATGCTACCATCATATTCATTTTTCTTAAAATCCTGAAAAAAAGAGCGAACTGCTAAACTTTCAAAGTATTTCTCACCAATTAATTCCATGTCCTTGTTTCGCTCATCCCTAAGATAACTTTGAGCCATCCATAATTTAATTAATTCATCTTTTTCTATCTCATAATCTTTTGGAAAGATAGCACAATATGAGAAGCATTTTTTCAATGTAGAAGGCAAATCATAATAACTTAATAATAAAGGTGGAAAAATCCCTCTTTCTACCTCTTCTATTTCCCACATTTCATTGTCTAGAACACTTTGCCACTCTCCAATATTTGTTTTGAAGCGCAAGAGGCTTCCTACGGTTTTTATAGCAAGAGGTAAGCCCTTGCATTTGGCTACAATTTTTCCACCAATATCTTCTAAGTTTTTATCGACTTCACCTAAAAATGCAATTTGCCTAAATAACGACCAAGACTCATTTTCTGATAATGTCTCTAACATGATCATGTTGGTGGCTCCTATAGTTTTGGCAACATTTTGCTTACGAGTGGTAACTAGAATTCTACTTCCTTGAGAACCACATTTCAAAGCAATCATCAATTGTTCCACATCTTTGGGATCCTCGGTCCATACATCATCTAGGACAAGAAAAAAGGTCTTTCTCTCTAAATATTGACTTATCTTTCTCAATATAGTTTCTAGTTCTCCTAGATTTGATGCATCACCTGTAAGAGATTCAAGGATTGCTTTTGCAATCCTAATCTCATCAAAAGGCTCCGAGACACATATCCATATCCTTTCATCAAAATGGACTTTTACTTTATCATCATTAAAAACTAATCGGGCAAGAGTAGTCTTACCTATTCCTCCCATCCCTGCAATAGAAATGATAGAGATGGCTGGTGCATGACTACTCTCATTCAACAACTTGTTTAATAATTCATCCTTATCAGTATCTCTTCCATGGACCGTTGGCACATCTATAAGAGATGTAGTCGTTAGTCGTCTTACTTCTACGTTGCCCTCTTTCAAACTAAAATCAAACATATTTTTTTCTGTAGTAATAACATCTAGTGTTTTATTTAGACTTTTTATCTTGCGAGCAATGGCACAAGGCAGGATAACTTTTCTAAAACAAAAGCTATAACAGGGGATGATGGAACATACCTTTTTTATCATAGGCTTGGAGGCATTCCTAACTTCCTTAAGTTGTAATTTCCCAATAGAAGTGTTCCACTCATCCAACACATCATCTATATCATAAGATGCCTCTTTAAGCTTATCCAGCCAATCCCTCACACCACTATCCTTGAATTGTCTGCTCTCTGCATCTTCAAGGACAGCTCGAATGGCCTGGAAATGGCTAGTGAGCTTTTGGACTTGGTCATCAACACCCACCACCAGCGTCCACTGTCCATCAATCTGTTGACGAGCGAATGAAGCCAACTGCTCCAAGACAACAGAAACAAGTGCTTCAGCCATACTAAAAGATGGTATATGATTGAAGAAAGATGAGAAACTGATATTTTGTGTTGTGTGTAGACAATGCTACGACACAATCAATATATATAGTGCAATATGGAACAAAGAAAACAATTCTTTACTTGCTGCATGGGTCGAACAACAGTTTACTTAGATTCTGGTTAAGGTATAAATGTAACTAAAACAAGCTGCTTTGCATCATAAAAATGATGGATTCTGCTTCTGCAAGCAAGAATATGATGCAATTAAAGGATTGAACTTGAGATAATGTATAAAGATCAATTTGGCCATGCTCAACTTTTATTCTATGGAGTACTGTGAATGTTACAATTCTAGAAAGGACTAATTATTTTTTTTATTAGTCATTTATCTACTTAATTATTTGTCCCATAGTTGATTAATTGATTAATTTTGAAGTGTCGAAATGTTTAATTTAATTTTTGGGTGGAATGACGTGCCTCATGGAGAGACTTGGGGATACCCTCTCTGGGGGTTCAAGGTTTGTGCTTTTCTTTGTTGCTCCATTTTTAAAGTTAAATTTCAGATGAGAACAGTATATATAGGCTGTTCATATCATATTGCTGGGACCAAGGGAAAAAGGATCAACAGCTGCATTTTCTCTTAATTTTCTAAATAAAAGTTGGTTTTGAACGAGGATATTGTTTAAAATCATGTTATTCACATTTTCAATTGAAAAATTATTGACTAAATAATAAATGGATAGAATTCATTCCCAAAAGCTAACTCAAAAGAAAATGGAATACAACCACATATATTAATATACACAATAACAACTCATCAATTTAGAAATATGGGACAAATACAACTTTTTAAATCCTCTCTCACACTCGATGTCCAAGGTCAAGGTCCAAGCTAAACAAATATGAGTCTACTATGATAAAGTGGGTTTCATAGAACATTAACATGGATCCTTTAACATGGATCCTTAAATTATGATTAAAAAAAACTACATTAGAGTATGCTTTGTTGGTTTATGTGATCAGTAATTAAGGTACGGAAAATATTACTCTTTTTTTTTTTATACAAACTCATAAATCATTATTTGATGATTCAAACGAGGGTTAATTATTTATACTATAGGAACCATTCATTTTGAAGCAATGGATTTGGGGGGAAGCCTGTGGTCCATGAAAGTATAAAGAGTAGTTGCGTCATCGATACATTAATTTAGTCATTATTTATAGGCAAAACGACAGACCAAAAGGGCTATGGTGATTCTGATTTTGTATTATATTACAAGCTTTTAGAAGAGTTTCCATACATCTTTTCATGCCAACCAGCCGGATTAAAACAGGCCCATTTCAAAACTTTTCTGGTCCATTTGATGTATAAAATGTGCACTTCATATATGTAAAGCGTGTAAATAATAGATACCCTCGTCTTGTTGAAGACTTAATGACGAGTTTATATTAATGAAGTTTACTATATGAAGTTTAATCTTGATCTCATGAAAAGTATAAATTCTTCATTATATATCTTTAGTTGAAGAGCATTATCCTTAAAATGATAGGTTTCGTTCACTCGAAACTAACTATATCGCATGAAACCCTCATGACCCCCTTTTTTTTCACCGCACCACGACTTCTTACTTAAATCGCAGATGCTTAGATGAGAAATCGAACCTAAGATCGTACACTTATTTATATTATCCCTAATTCATCCTCACCATCTGAACCATCCACGGATGGGGATGGGTTAAAATGTAGGATCTAGATGTGAATTTTTTTCAATAAAGGCAGAGGGGGTATTATCATACTGCTTAATTACATCTTAAGGATATCTAAATGATATAATAATCATCAAAAGATAAGAACTGTTGTCAAGCCATGTTATAATATTCAATTATTGGATCTCTTTTCCATGTATAATAATAACTTAATAACCTACATTTGACCTGCAATCCAGATACAAGTTTTCTGTTTTGGAAAGCAAAAGATATAGATTGAAACGTTTCCAAAAACAAAAACCTTCTGAGAGATCATCTTTACAAAACACGTTTGATTGAAATGTTTTTGGAAACGCTTTTTAACGAAGTTTAGAAGTGTAGAAGCAAAAGACCATCTAAATTTTCCTACCCTTTTTCCTTCCTGCCAAACAGTCTCATGGCTGCAACATTACAGCCAGAAAATATCTTACAGATGCAATCTATAAGCCACATTTCACTGTAACCTTGCTAAGAAAGACTAAGTTTCATTACAGCTATGGATACAATTCATGAACGAAAAAGCAGAAAGTCTTCACTACCTTGGTCAAGTTGTTTTATTGAAATTTTGTCACAAAGGACTAGGATCTAGCTATTAGCAACATTGGTGCTAATTACAATTTAATTATATAAGAAGTTGAAAAGGCCTGAAAGGTATAAGTTTCTTGGGTAACTATAGACAGCAAGTTTTATGACAGGATTTTGCAAAATTAGAACAAAGATTCACCTTTTTACACTTATAAGTTGACGACTTGAAACAGCAGCAAGCACTGTGTAGACATGAGAGTCCTGTAAAATTGCAGCAGCTTTGACACGTGACTTTCCTGGAGCAGCAGCAGCAGCAGCTGGGACATGGACATGGTGAGCAACATGACACAGAGCAAGTACCGCAGCAGGTTTGTGTTTGTAGATGATGCAGGCAACCACAACAGCAACAAATCCACAGAAGATTGGAGTATAATTTTCCCCTGCTCAGAATTAGTGCATCCCATCAATTTCACATAGTCTTCATTATACTAGTGTACTCAATTTCATACTGACAGTGGAAATTTGTATAAAATGTAACAGTTTACAAAGCATCATATCATAAAAACACATAATTATATAAGTAAATTTTTACAAGTGAAACAGGCAGTGATCAAAATGAAGCTGCATGCATTTTGCTGAATTTAGTCACATATTGTCCAACCGAGGTTGTGCCAGAGCAGCCCGGGTTGAGAATATTCACTCCAATGCTAAAATATCAAGCACACATTGGAATTATATGAGGCAAACCTACTTTAACTCAAGGCTCAAGGACACTTTCTTCTCTGAACTAAGACTCGAGAATTTGTCCACAATGACTATGAACTGTTCTTGCAATGTCACAGGATGTATTTTGCTAGAAAAATGTCCTTTAAACTAAAGTTTTGGTGTAAATGCAAGGGTGATTAGAGCTTAAAACAGGAGCATGTAAAACCAAACAAAATAAGCGAGAGATGAAGTACCAGATTCTCTTCCAGAAGGGCTTGGATTTACACGTCTCCTGATTTCTGATTTAAGAAAAAAATAATCATCCAGTGTTAGTGAAGTAAATTTTACATCGGAATTCATATCAAACAAAACAGAAAAAGGGTTATCTTCAAGGGCCATACATAGTGATTAAAGGATCCGCTTTAGCCCTTACAAACTCATCAACCCTGCCAATGAGAAGTTAAAGATCAAATGGGATAAAGACTGATACAATAAACAACATTACGATGATTTCACTGAGTATATTATGCATAAGACAGTAAAACAACCATACATACTCTTTGCAGCATCTTGAAGCTAGCTGAAGATCTTCAACAGTTTTCAACTCCTCCTGCTTGAACAAAAATCTATAAGTATACACCTATTTTACATTTACTTCTATCATACAGTTTAGCTTCATAAAAATACGGTACACACACATTGCATATACAGAGACTTCAATCTATCATTCAAAATAGCAGGGGACTTCACCAAGCAGAACATTCAAGGAAATGTGCATTTGCCACTAGATTCTAGCTAATAATCAAAATATGCCTAATAGTAAAATTAAAACAAAATTATGTATAATAGAGGTAGTAATAAGAATCACTAATTCAATGTGCCATGTAAATCTAAGGCTAGAAACACAATCACTAATTCAGATCAGGAATCATTTACTCTACAAATTACACATAATTTGGGGAAAAGGATCAAAGATTTTGGCTTAAATCAAGATTATTCAAGCAATCAAACTAAGAAATACTACTATGGGCTAAGTCATCAACATTGCACATAGATTAAAAAAAAAGATCCAAAATCAACAATGTCAATCAAACCCTTTTCATTCTAAACATTAATAACCCACCAAAAGAATAAATATTAAAATCACTACTAAAAAACAAAACACAAAAACTGACCTGAAGCTGACCAATCTCTCTCTCCAAAACTTGAACCTTGACCATCTGTCTCCTCTTGCCATACAAATCCACACAAGCAGGTGGAGACCTTGGACTCTTTGGTGGCTCCTCCAATGTAGACCCACCTGCAAAATCCATCACTAAAACTAAAACTTAAAATAAAATAAAAAAACCAATCTTCCTTGTTTGTCTCTCCACAAATAAGAGTTCATGCAAAGACTGGCTACTAAGTGAAGTCAAGAGAGTGTTGTGTTGTACGTGAAATTGGAAAAGGGTGAGTGTGAAAAGAAGAAATGAATGAATGGAAGCAATGTGGACGTGGAAGAGAGAGCAAGTAATAAAGAACATACTAAAAAAAGGGTTGTTGTTGAAAGTTGAGTTTGTGAGAGAAGTGAAACGTTGTTAGTTTGTGAGGGTTGGCAGAAGCTTAAAAAGGACGAATACTTCTGCAACATTGCAGAGAACACACGTGACTGAGTTGTGTAAGACACAAAAAATATTTTACTCTTTTCAACTTCTCAGTTAATGCTTCTGGTTTTGGTCCCTCTCACACACACACTTCTTGGTCCCTGTGGACTTCGCATAGGAACCAGCTAGGATTCTTTTGTTGTTTTTGTTTCCTCTTTTTTTTTTCCATTCACAATCACTTAGTCACTTACAAAGATTATAAAGGAAAAAAAAATTTGAAGAAAAAAGGTTTAAGATTTAAAAAAAAAAAAATGTATAAAATCATGTTCTAAAGGAGTCAGAAATGTCTACTCTTTGATCCTTGAAATACTCAAGCATCTAAAATTTGTATTATTTATCTTGTCTATTTTAGGACCTACTTGTTTAAATAAAGATACTTGGTGTTGGCGGTGGCAGTGGCCTTGTTGAACTTCCGTTTCTCAAATATTTATTGCCCTGCTTTACCATCTCATGCTGCCAGGCCTTTACTGGTGGCCCAAATCCCCCTGGTTTTGTTCAATGCTCAGCTGCTCTTCTCTGCTCAAATTTTTCTGCCCAACTATTTTTAGCACTTATTATATGGTGTGCCTTATAGTCTAAGCTAAACCATCTAACCTACCTTATTTTCTATGCAAACTGACATGTTGACGGGGAGATTATTGTTTGTAGTTGTCATAAAAATATTAGAATTTAGCCTTGAGGAGAAATGACAAATCTGTTCACAATGCAATAAAGAAAACAAAACTTCAAGAATAAATGTATCTGAGATTGATCAAACAAGCACAAAAATGAGCCTCGTCTTGCCTTAATATCCGAAGTAACATATCCACAATCCTGAAATCACTAGATTAGGATTTATTACAATGTACATATACAGTATATGCCTACAATTACAACTATATCTTTTTTTGCTAATAAAACATCATTGCTTTGTGAGGAATGCAAACTAATCAGGAAATCAATTTTGAGACTCTTCTCTCACATCTTACATTCTCCATGTCTATTTAGTTGATCAAAAGAGAAGGTCAATATAAACTACCCATTGGTATTAATCCCATAGCGCCGAGTAACCTGAGAGAAAGAAATATCAGATAGAGCGTAATAAGGCCTGCTCCCAGCAATTTACTTGGGCGCATGTCATTCCGAGGTAATACTACAAGTGCCCAGATTAGTCCTGATACGAGAAATCCCATTGTGTAAAACAAGCTCTGGTCCTGGGGAATCACATATGAAGCTGGTCTGTTTGACCAGGCTCCGAGCAGCAATGACATACCCAAACCAACAAGTGTGTTGAACATGGGACCTGCATAGCATCCAGACAAAGCAATCTGTACACCATCCCCACCATTCCTCGCCAACGCAACATTTGACACCAAATCGCCCATAGAGTTACCCCATGCCAAGACAGTTAAACCAAGGATGGAGGGATTGATTCCGAAGATTATACCAAATGCTACCAGCAAAGCAACAAGCTCATTAGCAATCATGTAAAACCATACAATACTCATAAGAAATCCACCTAAAACCCAGAGAATTAAGTAATTCTGAGGTGGATGATCAGATACAGTGAAACGATAAGCAAGAGCACCAAGTGAGCAACCCACCGCAACACCAATAAAATATGCAACCCATATGCTTTGAGAACTTAAATTGTCTCCGCTACTCCACAGAAATGCCAGGAGAATTGGTGCCAATAAAGCACTGGCAACAGCATATGGCTTTGACCACATTTCCTCCTCAACTGATGGAATTGTTAGACGTCTTGGCACTGTCAATGGCAACTCCAAGAGTGAAATTATTTTAGACCTTGAACAAGATGAATTGTTATTTTGAGTTGCCTCATCAGTCCAGCCCCATGGTCTTTCATGATCAAACTCACTGGCTTTCATTAAATGGTTTGAATATATTGCCACATTTGAAGCCCACATCCATTGAGGTAAGGAAGGGTGGAGTCGTGGTGGATCATCTTCTGTATCGAGGTCAAGCAAAGAACTATACACTGAAACATCCTCTTCACTTCCTTGAGAAAATACACTTCCTCTGACAGGGAGCAGGGGAGTAACAACATCCAATTTCAACCGTTGTGCATGTTTCCTAAAAATCTCATTTGCAGCCACTAAAAATGCATAAACCACATAGATTGACACAAATGAAAGAGCCACCCCAACACTCACTTTCCCAAAAACTAAAATCATCAACAAGCACACAAGTGTAAAGAGAAAGAAACCAACATCCCTAATAAAACATTTCCTATCAATCTGAACTCCCTTCTCCGCGACACACAGTGAAACAGTCCCAACAACAATAGAAGTAACAAACACTGCGCCACCCAACACACTATTAAGTCCAACTTCACCAGTGTTTGTCCCCATAAATGCAGCTATGCTCGCAAACACATCCGGCGCTCCATTGCCAAGAGGAAGGAGCGTAACTCCAGCAACAGTCGGAGGCAACTTCAACAGACTTGAAAGCTTCTCCAAAGAACAACAAAAATAATCCGCAGCAGTGTTACCCAACAGATAAAACAATGCAGCCAACCAAATAAGCAATACTGCATAACCGAAAAGCGTAAATCCTCCACAACCACAATACAAGAACTTAACGTAATTAAAGAAACCCCCTGATGAACATTCCGGGTTCGCTTTCAAGAACTCACACTTGTTAGCAAAACCCTTATGATCACTCAATCCAGTACACAAAGCAGGATCGCCCACAGTGAAATTATTAGCTAAACTTGATGAATTGTCATTGATTTCTATTGTTTTTCGATGAATTACCAAAAACTGACTTAACCCATTATTCATAACAGGGTTTTGAGTCGAACTATGATCAATAAACGATGAAGATTGCCTTAAAATTGGGCTTTTCATCACATCTACATGGTTGTACAATAAGAAAAACAAAATCAAGCTACAGAGTCCATTTAAAACCCCACGAAACTTGGGGTTTCTTGAACTATACAAACCATTTAACACCTTCATTTTCCAATATCCTTACCTATGAATCTCCCAAAAAACCCAGAAATCAAATTAGCCTAGGGTTTCATTTCTTGAACAAAAACAAAACCCTACACACTAACTAGAACAAAGCAATCAAAAAAAAAAAACCCAATTACGTATTGCTGAATCTGGGCAAGAAATTTGATGACTTACCGGTAAAGATTGATAAAGTTGAGAGATTTTGCCCGAAGAAATTATTTTTTCTGAAAAAGAAAAAATTGAAAAAAAATATGGGATTTCGTTTATCACAAGTATTGATTTGATTGTCTTGTTGTTTGAAGTAGTTTCTTGGTTACTTCCTCGGGTTGTCTCTGTCAATTTCTGTGCTTATGAACACGTGTAAAGCAGTAGGGGTTTTTTTGAATGTTAGATAACATATAGGGTTCCAATGGTAAAATTAAAACTTAATAGAAAGCTAATTGATTTTTACTTTTCCTAATTTTAAAAGCATAATACAAAATAGTAAGTATAAATTGGAGGTTATTAATTATTATACCATTCAATTTGGCTTTAACAATCCTGATTAATCAACATTTGATTAATGTAATTAATATAGAAATATTTTTAAAATTTAATGCAATAAAATTTGCATATAAGCTTTAGCTTGAAAATTGAGATATAAATACTCCAATTCTATAAATATAGTATTCCTTTAATATCCATTAATATAATTTATTTTTTCAAAAGTAAATATGAGTGCAGAGCTTAGTGAGCGAGCAAAGTCCAAGAAAGAGGAACGTTTGTCATAGATAGAGCAATTGATTAGAAGAAAAAAAACGGTTGGTTAAGAGAAGGTGAATTCTCTCGAGAAAGATGACCAAATTTTCTTATTTCTTTTTTAAATAGAATAATATTTGACACTTACCTCCCCCTTGAGGGAAAGTGAGCTCCATTTTTTCGTTACTCAGTCAAACTTATAGCAGGATAGATATGAGCCCTGAAACGCAAGTCTAGGTTCAGCATTTCACCTTCTGGACAACCTTCATGCTAAAACTGTTCGCCAAATGTAACAGTTCAATTCAAAGAATAACTCAAAATCTTACACAGTAGTTCAACATCCGCAACAAATGGATATAAACAACAAATGCATGTATAGAAACTGTAAAGGAGAATTAATAGCAGATTTAATTACGAGAATATTTAGTCTACCCGGCCTCATAACATAATTGTGATGTAGAGATTTTCATTAATTGCAGATAACACAAACTAGAAAGGAGAAGAAATTACCAGTGGTGGATCACCTCATGTAAAGGTAACATTAGGAAGGTGGGAGATCTCAGACCGTTGTCCCTGTCTCCTCTTGTAACGCGACCTAGAATATCGAATCCCCAATTGTTTTCATGTTGGCATTGAAGAATGAATTGGGCAGCTGTCTTCAATGAAAACCGACATCAATTTTGTATTGAGAGGAGGCTGCAACATTAAGAGATGAGAAAGATTAGCCAAAACTTATAAAAAAAATCAATTCCAAAATGATAAATGACTGTGCAGTGAAATACCATTATAGTGTGAAATCCGGGGCAAAGTAGTGAAAGCCGTAGACCGATTTCACTACATAGAACCAAGATAACACAGACCAATTATTATAGAGAGCAAAGGATTATTTAATTTTACTTTTAAAAGAAATATTAATACTTTTATGAGAGACAACTTTAGATAGAATTAATTGATCCTAAAACTTTTGAATAAAGTCAATAAATATTTTTGGTATTTATATTATAAGTCAATAATATAAACAACAACATTAAAGAATAAACAACACTCTTCCCAATAAACAACAAACTTAAAAATGGAGAAGAAATTACCTATGGCCAAATGCTGACGTCAAGAATGTAGAGATCTTGTGCACATCTTCACCGTCTCCTCTTGTAACGCTGACTTAGATATCGCAATACTCAATCTCCAATTGTTTTAGTGTTGGCGATTGAAGAAGTAATTGGGCAGCGTTTTTAATTTGGGGGCTCCAGAAATCTTCAAGTAATGCAGAGATATGATAGTAATAACTAATTCATCTCCTTTCAAAGTAATATCATCCGACTCTTCCCATCCAGCTGACATCCCATCAACACAAGCCTTTTTAATTTGGAAAGACAATACACGATCTGCAGTGCCATCATTTCTATTCCCAAAATTCATTGCCCACTTTTTTTACATTCATAGGCCTATCTATAAAGAGTGATTCAAGAGATGGTAACTTCCCGAAAGGAGGCAAATACTAACAGTTGTAGCAATGAAAAGTGTTTAACTCCCTCAACTGAGTTAATGATGTTACCAATTTAGCCTTATAGCTTTACCTCCACAATCTTTAACCATAATTTCACTAATTTGGAGGTGGTTCAAGGGCCTCAACAACCATTCATCTCTCTCCACTGTCAACCATTTCATTCCAAATCTAAAACTAAGAGAGGAGGTGTTTGCGTCCATATGAGCGTTTGCATCCGTTGTTTCTTACTTGTATCTTGAAAAAGAAAATCTACAACAGAAATGCAAAATAATATTGGTTCATGA